AGGAGGAGGAGATAAGGCGCTCAAGATTCCAACAGGCGAGCCTAGTGATGGAGTGGAGGAGGACGAACCCTCCAGCTGCTGACCGAGACGTGATAGCGGAGCGGGTGAGAATACTGGCAGAGCACAGAAGGAGCAGGCAAGAGCTGCGCGTCCTGCTGCTACTCCTGACCTGAAGTGCAGTCCCGCAGAGGAAGTGATGGCAAGAAACCTGATGGATGCCCCTGCTGGACCAGAGTAGCTGAGGAGGAGGAGGAGGAGGAGGAGGAGGGGAAGGAGGAGGAGGAGGAGGAGGAGGTAGAGGAGCAGGAGCAGGTACAAGAGGAAGAGGAAATGGTTGTAGTGGAGGAGGAGGAGGAGGAGGAGGAGGAGAAGTCAAGATTGTGGTGGTGTGCGACCGTACACAACTAGAGGGGGGCAGCTAGGGAAGCACAAGGGGTCAAGACGGGATGTGGACATATGGAGATTGTCGAGAATCGAGGAGGAAGGAGCAAAGCGGGGGAAGGGGGGGTTCAGGAGGGGGAGCAGGAGGACCAGGAGGAGGATTCAAGTGTATCTGTAACATCAGCATGTAAAGTAGCACGAATGGTGAATGTAAATAATATGAAACAGAAACAAACCTATCAAACAGCCTTTTTCTCCCTACATCATCCGCATCTCTTGATCGGACTCTCCTGCTCCCCCCCCCCTTCTTTTCCTCAGCCCTCCAGTTCCCTACTCGCCTCCTCCAGCGATGCTGCGATGCTCATCTCTGCTTTAGACAGAAACCTTCTCCTCTTTCCTGCCTGCAGCCTCTCGCACAACAACTCGAACCGCTTCCTTGACATGCCTGCTGTTACCGTCAGGTCCTCCTCCTCCTCCTCCTCCTCCTGCTCTTCTCCCTCTCTCCTCTCCTCCTCTTTCTGCACCTGCCCGCAGTGACGACAAGTCGAGGTCAAGCAGCAGATCTTCGACGCGCCTCACTCCCTGATTGACTAACTGAGCAAAGACCGTGATGGGAGGGAGGGAGGGAGGGAGGGAAGGAGGGAGGGAGGAAGGGGGGAGGGAGGCAGAGAGGGAGGGAGGTGGGAGGGAGGTGGGAAGGAGGGAGGGAGGGAAGGAAGGGAGGGCGAGAGAGAAAGGGGGGGGGGTTGGGGAGAGGGAGGGAGGGAGTTGCAGGTGAAGGGGAGGGGAGAAGCAGAGGGGGAGGTGTGATGGTACAAGCTGTCTAAGAAGGGAGAAGCAAGATTCCGATGAGATGCTGCGAGAAACAGAAGAATATTAGCGGAAACAAGAACAAGTACAGGAGAAGGAGGATGAGGACATCGAAAGTCACGTTAAGGAGGAGGAAGAGGAGGAGAAGAGACGGAAAAGGAGAGGAGCAGGAGGGAGGAAGAAGAGGGAGGAGCCCGAGAGCACCTGCGAAGGGCTGCGATGAGTTCTCTTTCTCCAGGGTAATATCCTCCTAGCAAGTTCAAGTGGACGAGTACAACGGACTCCTCCAACTGCCTTGTGCTTGCTCCCGTTCCCTCCGCCTCCCTCGACCCCCCCTGCCAGCTCTCCCCCAGCAGCAGAGCCTCTCCTCCTCCTCGCTTCAGGTTGATGCAGCCTGTGAAGCTCCTGTGCTGCTTGAGGGTGCTGGAAGCTTGTCATTGTTGGGAGAAGAGAGCAGGACTGAGCCTGCACGTGAGGAATGGGAGGGGACAAGAGAAGGACAGAGAAGGCGATGAGAGAGGATGGAAGGAGGGGACGGGACGCGAGGGGAGGGGGGGTAGGCCTAGGGCCGTGGAGGGGTGTGGTGGTTACCGTGAATTGGACAGACTGGATTGAATTTTCCCGGTGGAAGGACACCTATCGCGGGGGTGTCTGGGAGTGATCGGGCGCTTTCTTTTATCATACACGATCATATACGGTCTGTTAGGGGGGTCCGGGGATGGGATGGATGTCATGTTTAATGTCTTTCCCTTCCCTG